GAAAATTACCATTTTGGAAATTCTAATGAAATAATGAATCTAGGCAATGCTCCTCAATAACTGTTAAGACCATAAAAGAGCACCATCCCTTGTAAAACGTTCTTTCTACAAAACAGCCACTGAATCTGATCAAGTCCCAACTAGCTGTTTACAGGGAACACAGAGTGGGGGAAATGTGACAGAACAAACCAGCCTGGTTTCTTCACGTAAAAGAAGTTTCTTCAAGTTTCTTTAATTAAATTGCAAGGAAAAAGAAAAAAAAAAGAGGGAGAGAGAACTAACAGATTGAAAGAGACTTCAGAGATGTTTCAGTCAAATGCAATGCTTCGACCTTGTTTAGATTCCAATTTAAAAAAAAAACTATTAAGTAAATTAGATGGTCACATATGAATAGTGGCAGAACATTTGCTGGCATTAAGGAAGCTTAGATAATATTCTAGGTATAGAAATAGGTTTGTGGTTATGTTTATAGAAAGATTCCTTGTCCTTTAGAGATACATATTGCAGTATTTTCAGATGAAATGGTATGGTGTTTGGGAGAGGACCCCATAGTGACTTATATTGGCCCCAGGCCCTTTTGTCTTCATGGACCCCCTCTCACCATAATAGATTTTGGGGATCCTAAAAATGTTATTGTTTTCTGATGTGAGAAAAAAATGGAAACATTTTATTCAACCTTACAATTTCATTTTTCCTTCTGACTTTAAAAGAAATTAAAACGTTCTTGTAGATTCTTAAAAGTATCATGTGTTCTGGCACTACGCTTGCTTTACCTAATGAATGAGTGAGCCCTGGTCTGAGATTGGCTTCAAAACGATCTAGTGGTAGTTGGGGGGGCGGGGTGACAGAAAATGGGTATTGGGAGTACAGATGAAATAAAATTGGCCACAAGATAATAATGGTTGAGGCTGTGTGATGGGTGTGGGGAGGGGGGTGGGTTATCATAACCCACCACTTTTATGGATGTTTAAAATTTTTCATAATAAATAAATTAAAGCATCAATTTCTGAAAAATACTTATTTGAATGCTTTTAGAAATTTTTTCCCATAGAGGAGGAAAAAAATAAATAAAACCAAAAGAAAAACCTGGTTTTATTTAAACTTGGTGCTAGTGTGGACCCTGAATAAAAGAGATTTAAAGATATCAAGTCTCGGAGCTTCCCTGGTGGCGCAGTGGTTGAGAATCTGCCTGCTAATGCAGGGGACACGGGTTCGAGCCCTGGTCTGGGAGGATCCCACATGCCGCGGAGTAACTAGGCCCGTGAGCCACAACTACTGAGCCTGTGCGTCTGGAGCCTGTGCTCCGCAACAATAGAGGCCGCGACAGTGAGAGGCCTGTGCACCGCGATGAAGAGTGGTCCCCGCTTGCGACAACTAGAGATAGCCCTCGCACAGAAACGAAGACCCAACACACAGCAAAAATAAATTAATTAATTAATAAACTCCTACCCCCAACATCTTCTTAAAAAAAAATATATATATATATATATATATATATATCAAGTCTCATTTGGGACAAAGACCTCATTATTAGAGTTTTGCCAAGCCTGAGAATCTAAATGGACAGAGGGTTTTAAAATGTTTTCTTTTCTGGTCTTTTTTTTTTTTTTTTTTTGATGTGGACCATTTTTAAAGTCTTTATTGAATTTGTTACAATATTGCTTTTGTTTTATGTTTGTTTTTTTGGCCGTGAGCCATGTGGGATCTTAGCTCCCTGACCAGGGATAAAACCCACACCCCCTGCATTGGAAGGCAGATTCTTAACCACTGGACCACCTGGGAAGTCCCCAAATTTTTTAATTTAAAAGTTCACTTTCTGGGTTTTTTTTGGTGGTGAGGAGTTGCTGCCTGCCAATATGGTACCATTTTATTTCAGAGAAAGCTGAATGGGAACAACATTATGAGCATTTCTCAGTGGCCTTTGTGATGAAATAATCAATACAAATAAAGAACAATACAGGAAGTCTCTCCAGCTTTTCAGAAAAGCTGCATTTGGTGATTGTGAGCAGGTGAGTGATGATATTGGGTTTGTCACCTAGTGAGCTCAGCACACCTGTGTGTGGGGATTCCCCCCTCCCCCCCACTTCACCCGCCAGTGACGCGCTGCTGACCTCTTAGCACCTCCCTGCTCCTCTGTCCATTCACTCCAGAAACAGTTACTGAGTATCTGCTCTGTGCCGAGCGCTGGGCTGGATGCCTGGATACACAGGGGAAAAAACATGGTTCTCACCCTGAAGGGGCAAACTGGGAAGAAAGAGTCACCTGCTGGGGAAAGAGATGGAAACGGAAATGTTCCAAACAAGTGAAGTATCTCTATGAGGTGGGTACAGAGGGCTAGAGGGGACCCATAGAAGCTAAAGAGATCAGGGAAGGTTTCTGGGAGTGGAGGGATATTGGAGAGACCTGAAGGAAAGTAGCAGAAGATGATAAGCCAAGAAAAGCAGAAGAATGAAGAAGGCATCAGGCAGAGAGAGGCATGTGCCAAGCCCTGAAGGCTTGGAGAGGGCAGGGTGGGTATGAGTGCTGGGCAGAGAAAAGGTGGTGGAGGGGAGGCTGGGTGGTGGAAAGTGGTGGGGGGCACTGAGCCGCGGAAGGACTGTAATGAAGGAGCAAATATCTGTACCAGGAGTTCTCAGTGTGGGCTGGGACCAGCAGCATTAGCGTCACTCAGGAATTGTAGAATGCAAATTCTCAGGCTCACTCCAGACCCACCTAATCAGAAACCCTGGGGATAACACCTAACAACCTGCGTTTTAACAAGTCTTCTAGGTGATTCTGATGCATTGGTCTAAATGATTTTACCCTCCAGGGGACATTTCATAATGTCTGGATACACTTTTGGCTGTAAGACTGATGGGGGTGAAGTATTACTACAACTGTTTAGTAGCCTGGGATGCTGCTAAACATCCTACAATGCACAGGACAGGTCCCCACAACAAAGTCCAAATGTCAATGGTACAGCTGTTGAGAAATCCTGATCCTCCCTTTCTCTGTCTCTCTCTCCTTCCTTCCTTCATTCCTTTCCTTTTCCTTCCTCCCTCTCTCCCTCTCTCTCTTTCTCTCTCTCTCCTTTATTCCCACTTGTCCTCTACAGACAGCAGAGCACTCAAAAGGCCACAAAATGCTCCTTTTCTGCATTTTACTTTATTCAGTTACAGATAACCCTCCCCTTTTATCTGATAACTCACCATGACTAAGTTGACCTATGGCTAATGTAGGCATTATCTTATTTCTGCCCCAAAGGGTCCATTTATCTCCCTGGGAGTGGGATGGGGTGGCTCAGAGTATAGGTGACAATCCCCAACCCAGGCCTGAAGCTGTAGATCTTGGCAACTGTGAGTATGAGCTTATGCACGAGGCCCAAACAGCCAGGAGTCCTGATTTTGGCATGAAAGACAATTCCAGTGGGAGTGGAGGCTCCCACAGTAGATATTAGGGACAACTCTGAGCAGCTCCTCCAGACCACAGAAGTGAGCATGTCCACAGATAGTACAAAGCCCAAACAAAATGGTTTTAAACAAAGATGTAAAGTCACATTAAGAGTTTGGGACTAACCAATGGATAGGATTCTAAACTGATGGATGACATTGACAAATGCAAATAATTATATCCATTAGAAGAAGGTTTACAGGGCAAAAAGAGTGAGGAAAGTGTAAAGTTACAAAGACAAACATTGGCAGTGCCCATCTAACACTTTCCAGGGGAGTCGGTGCCCCCAACATGAATGTTTAGTCTGCCTAACAGACATATAATCCCATTGGGGTGGTAGGTGTCCCAGGCTTTTAAGGTCTCAAGCCATTAACCACCTCCATTATCCAGCTTCCCTGGCTCTGCTTTTAGGCTGTCACACAACCTTCTGAAAACTGTCTTCCCCATGGTTTGCCCACATGGAGAAAATGCTCTGGTAAAGCTGATATGAATGTTGAGTCTGCTTGAGGGTCATGTTTCTCACTGAAAATGAACCTGTTGGCCTTTTGATTTATAGCTCTGGCCTCTATTGAATTTACTCAGTCGTCCTGAGTTGGTAGAGTCACCTCTGGGACACTGACAACATGGAGCTTCTGGACTTCCAAGGTAGAGAGAGGGCCAGACGAGGGACCATAAGGAATGACTCTGGGAGCCTGCTTCAGGCACTTAGCCTATTGTCCTCCTTTGATCATCCTGACTCTTATAATGAGTCTTTTCTTCCAACTTCTACATTCCCATGATACTCAAAAAGCCTGTGTGGTAGACTGAAAAAAGTGGCCACCATACTCTGCAGCTCCTCCCGCCAAGAGGTAGAGTCCATGTCCTATTTCCTCATCGCTGAATCTGGGATGGCTGTGTGACTGGCCAATAGAACGCAGAGAAGTGACCTCATGTGAGTCTGAGACTGGGCCTCGAGACATGCATGTTTTGTCCTGGCTCTTTTGGACCCTAAGGTTGCTGAGTGTGTAAGTCAAGCTAGCCTGCTGATCGATGAGAGACAAATGGCCCCGCCACCCTGATCATTCCAGATGACAGCCAGACAAACTCCAGAAGCAGAGGTGTCCTGCTCAGGTACAGCTGACTGCAAATACATGAGGAAGTCCATGCAAGACCAAGAAAAGAGCCTCCTAGATGAACTCAACTTGACAATCTACAGAATCATAAGCTAAATAAATGGCTATTGTTTTAAGCATTAAATTTTGGAGTAGTCTGTCATGCAGCGGTAGATAACTGATAACAACAGTATTTGTGTTTTTAATAACTCCCAAATATACCCTGAACTTATTGCCACAGTTTCTCTCCTAGAGGCCATGGGATTTGCCACTTAATGTAACATGATTGAGATTTATCTCATGTTATCTCAGGAGCTTCGATGGCTCCAGCAGAAAGGAGAGCCCTTGTTTCTTCCATCAAGATGCTAAGAGATTTGGGTAAATGATACAGAAGATTTTGGGTTTGCCAACATTCACTTGAAGAGAAAGAGGAGGAGTAAATATGTAAAATTACATTTCTCAGAGAGACAGATTTCTGACCTTCAGCCGGCGGTCGGGATCTCCACTGCATAGAGAATTTACTGATACTTTGAATGATTTCCAGGCTGGGCTTAAGTTATTCATCACAACCTGAGGAAAGAAAGAGAGGAGTGGTGGGTGGGAGAGTAAGTGCTTGACATTTTCACATTTCAACATAAAAACTGCTTGAGAAACACTGTGGTGCTTATGATAAGGACAATTGTCTGGAAAAGGTGCCTTAATGAAAACTTGGAGTAGTAAACCTTTCAAGGGTGCCCACTAGGTGGATCGTTATGGGCAGAACTCTTACAGTCACTGGCCTGGCTGTTATTTCATGAATAATGACAATAATATTGTCCAGTATGTGGATGCTGGAGATGACCCCTTCTATATCAAAAGAGGTTGGGATCAAGGAGATGGGCTGCCTCTGCCTCTGATAAAGTATCGCCAGTTCTGTAGGACTGTCAGTCCTATGGCATAAATTCTCTTCTAATGAGGTCAGCATACGTAAAGCCTATTGGTGTGTGTGTGGGGTGTGTGGCAGGACAATTCTGCTGCTGAAGAACTGAGCAGTCTTTGGTGACCTGTGACCTTGGTTAGATCAGATTGCAAGTCAGAAGAAAAGTTTCTAGAAGAAAAATCCCAGGAATACATTTATACTAGGTATGCTCAGAAGGCATAACAGGGCAGATCTTCAGGATCACAAACTAAGACTGCAATATCGTGGAACCCTTTTAAAAGCAGTTTACTAATCATGAACTTGGTTAAATCCTGCCTGAGAGTCTATTCGAGTCAAGTCTTATTCTGCCATCAGATGATTCAGTAATTCAATTTGGTTTAGCGTATGAGTATTTGCTCTGTGCCTAAGATTGTACTGTGTACTCTAGGGCAGGGGCTACCAAAGTGTGGTTCCTGGACCAGCAGGAGCTTGTTAAAAATGCAAATGTCTAGATTCCACCAGACCTACTGACAGAAACTCTCGAGGTGGGCCGTTAGGTGATTCTGATGCATGGTATTTGAGAACCACTGCTCTAGGGGACATACAAACGAAGTTAAATGGAGTTCTGTCATATTGACTTTTCTTCCTATGAAGTTTTTAGTTAGCAGAGCCTTAGAATTGTAAAAAAAATAATTCTCTATCTACGTAACATAATTATTTTATAAGTGATTCCCTCTTCTCCTGAATTCCTTAATATAATGATGAATTATTGATTATACTGTAGGCTCATTATTAAATTTGCTTTAATGCATTAAAAAGTAGAAAAATAATGTTCCTATGTGACTGCTTTTTGCTCTCATTCGCTGAATGAGCAAAGTGATAGTGAGAAGAAAAGTTAGATAAAATTGTTTTGGTTAATTTAAATTTCTCACCCTTGTATAGAAATACTAAAAAGTGAAGATGTTTCATTACAACAGCTTCATAAAACTCAATAGCAGATCAAAATTTCAGCTAGAAATTTCCGCTGAAATTAAAATCTCTGTGTGCGTGTGTGTGTGTGTGTGTGTGTATGCACACACACACATGTGCTTACCCAGAAAGAAAGGTATTGCCTGGTATTTTTTTTGTATCTATTGAGTAAGAAAGAGGAAAAATCAATGTTATGTTGATTGACTCATTGGAAAACTTTACAATCACAATTCTTATGAGATTCCAGGAGCCCCTCACAATGGGGTATGGGGAAGAGTTAGAGGGGAACAGGGGAATTTACCTCTTCTTGGAGGGATGCCGTCAGGAGTGAAGAAGAAGTCTAACAATATGCCACCCCTCTTCTTTCTCCCTGCACATTCAAGTCCCCGTGCACTGGCTCGAGCAAAGTCATGAATGGGTACCACTTCTGATGCTCCCCAACATTTAGTTACTTCTCCTGAGAGAACTTTGTCCCACCAAAGGAATCTTTATGTGGGAAAAAGTTCTATTTGGTGATGGTGATGGGGTGCCACTCAGGGAAACCATCCCAGTTGCATTTGAAACTATTCCCCAGGGAATAGTTTGTGACTGTCCAAAGAATCACATTATACTATCACAGGGAGTGGACATACTATCAATATTCAACTCCATTCATGTATTCATTCTTTAGTAGACACACTTTATTAAATGCTAACCATGTACCAGATGACATCCACAGAACTAGCCCATCCAAGACTATTTGATTCTTGTTTACCTTAAATATGACATGAAAAGTTCCCCTAATGCTACCTGCAACTCTGCTACTTCAGGAAAAAGGAAATGGATTTCCAGAGTAGGGTATGGGAACACAGCACCCCACTATCATCCTGAGAGAGTCATGAGAGTTCCTTCTTCCTTTACCCTACACTGGAAGCGCATTTTTCTCTCAGCTCCAAGCCATTCCTCCTTATCAATGCACTTCTCACCCCCACACAGTCTCTCTTGAACTGGCTTGTATATAAAATAAAATAAAAAGTGGAGACTAGGTTTGGTTGTTAAGTGGGTGTGTGGTGGTGGGTAGTGGGGGTGGGATAGTGAAGGATAAGGTTCGGAGTCACGTGGAGAGAATGTAGGAGGGTGAGAGGGAGGTGCAGCCAGACCAAATGCCTGCTGATACAGGACAGCCATTCGTACGACAGATCTGACATCAGTCCCGTGTATGGACTTTCCCTGGGTAGGCAGATTGGCTTCTCAAATTGCAGCAAAGCTCAGGGTTAAACTCAATTCAAACCTCAGCTCTACCCCTTGCTCACTGGGAAGGTGACTTGACCTCCTCAAATTTCAGTTTCTTCAACTGTAAAATGGGGTAATAATAATCATGTCAATGCATAGTTGTGAGAAGTAAAAAAAATGATGCATATGAGATCAGTCAGTCAAATGCTTGGTACCTAGTCATGTTTATTAAATATTAGCTAGTATTCATCTTTTTATTATTAATAAGTTGCTGGCTTTCTTCATTAAAGGTCAATAATGGAAAATCTGGGTGAGAAAGGGTCTCCTCTTATAACACCCACATTGAGAATAAAGAGCCCTGTTAAGGACTGGGAAGACTTCAGGTCTTGAGGTTTAGCTACAGACATTAAGAAAGGGAAGGGGTTTCTCAAAACAGGTCAGTGTTTCATCTTAAAGAGACGAGATGGCACAGCTGAAGACGGCTCTTCTCACCTCAGTTCGGTGCACAAGCTGCTGAGTTGCATCATCATTCATTCGAAAAATTTCCAGAAATGGGTCAGACTTACTGAAGAAATCCTACAATAAATAAGCAGAAATGAGTTGCTTCCCTACCCCCTGCACAAACACATTTGATCCAGCCCTGGATAAAATACCCCTGAATTTGACCCTTCCTTGCTTTATTCTTCCTCCCTGAGACCCACCTTTGGCTAGAATGAGCTGTATCTTAACGCCGAGTCCTTTGAGAAGTAAGGATTGGTTGACTGAAATCCCAAGTAGTCTTCAAAGATCCACCCAAATGCTGGTTCTCTAAGAAGCAGTGTATCTGCTGTCTTAAACATGTTAATTCTAGTTATTGTAAAGTCTATGTCTGATGACTACAGTATCTGGATCACTGTGGGTCTGTTTTTATTATGTTTCTCCATTCTGCCTCTTGTTATGCTTGTTGATTAAATACTAGACACTGTGTAAAAAAAATTATAAAGGCTATAGATGAGTCTTCAGCTTCTGGCAAGCAATTAGAATGAGGGCAGTCACCTGAATCCAATTAGGATTGAGCTCTTTAGAGCCTGGTTTCTTCAAAAGTCTTTAAAGGCCCGACCTATTTCTGATTCCTTTATTCCTTGGGTATAATCCTTAAATGGCTCTCACTCAAAAACTCACTGTTTATGAGGGCTGTTTCTTCTTGACAAGCCCTCAAGGCTCATTTCTGTTTGTGAGACTCTGAAAGACTCTGTTTACTTCCATAATCTCTTGGTTCTATAGTTATTGGTTCAGTTTCTGTCTATGCTGCTATTTGCTAATTAGTGAATGCCTTGAGGGGATAAGTCACTCCAAGGGTTGGGCTGCTTCCCTTCTCTACAACTAACCCAAGCTCTCCCTGAAGTCCTGAACTCCAGTTTTACTTCCCCAACTCCATGATACTATTAAAAGCACTGCTCAGTTTCTCTGTTTCTTAGTAGCTATTTTCTGCTAGGCTTCCCAGCTTCTCTATCCCTGGGTTTTATGAATCAGCCTTATGGAATTGCCTTGAGTGGAAAATCTGCATAGAATGTCTGAATCACCTCAATGGATTTCTCTTCTCTCCAACTTCTCTGACCCTGAATCTTGACTGCCTTAAGACCCTCAAACAGATGTCTCTTGTATCTTGTCCAGTGTTTATAGTTGTTTTCAGTGGTAGAGTAATGTAAAACAAACAGGCACTTTAATACTGGAAGCAGACCTGTCCATATCCTTCTTTTAAACTTGGCTTTTTACACTGATAGGTTATAAACTCTCAGACAGGAGTAATTATATCTTATTTTCCTTTATATTTCTACCATAGCACATCTTCCATAGCATCTAGCTTTTAGTGGCACACAGTGTTTACTGAATGTATGAATGAACACATAAATGAATGAGCGAGTGACAAGAAAACCAGGTACAGAATAGGAGGCTATCTCAGCAACAGCTTTGGTCATCACATTCTTACTATGGTAATTCCCTGCCCCAGAAATCTAGACAGCAGCAAAGCAGAATAAAGTCTATAGCCATCCTAGTCTTTAGCTCGACAAAATACTCTCAGGGGATATGCTGATCATGGAGCCCTTATGCTTGATATTAAGATACAAGGAAGGATAAAACCTTTTCTCATCCCTCCAAAGGGCCATAAACATAACAAAAGGTTAAGTATTAATGAATGAATGAATAACAGAGAAGAGGGAAAGTCAATGGATTTTGACTGCATAATATGGTTGTGAGGAGGATGTTTCTAGGGAGGGAATGGAGTGAGTGAAGGTGTAAAAGAGTAAACATGGAAAGGACACACCAAGTAGCTGAATTACCCTGCAGCCTCAGGATGTGTAGGGGAGAAATCTGAGGCAGTACTGGTAGAGGTGGCTCCATGAGGTGAAGGGCCTTAAATGTATATCTGGTGTTTGCACTTACCTGAGAGGCAGTGGGGAGCCACTGAAGAATTTTGACCAGGAAAAAATAACATGGTTGGCTCTGTAGTGAAAACTTTGTAGAATACCTTAGAAGGAGGAGGGAGATGGGGATATCTGTCTTCCCTTTGGCTGTCCTCCCTACCCAACCAGGATCAAACACCCAGAGTCTGAAAAATACCCCTCTGCCCTATTTCTGAAGGTGCCTGATTGACAACACAGAGTTCATCAGTAAGTCTGCCCTGCAAAACTTGTCTCTCCACAAAAATAGCCCCTGCTTTCCTCCCAGACACACTTCTATCTGATTGTTACCATTATGTGTAACTGAGCGGGACTTTATGGGGCCTCCCCAGGACAGGCACTTCACCCATACCCTCTGCTTTAGCTTCTCTCTGAAGTACCCAGATAACAGTATTTGAGGCACATTTCCTGAGTTGTTTTACAGATGTGAAAACCTCCCACTAAATGGAAGATGTTAACTACTTGATGACCTGGAGCCTCCTGGAGCCTAAGGACTCATAATGTTAACCCCTGTGACACCACCCTGTTACCTCTCCATCAGCCAGAGAACTGTGCATGAGCTGATTACATACCCTGCAACCCCTTCCCTCCCCGGACATTTAAAAAATGCTTTGTGGAGGGAATTCCCTGGCGTTGCAGTGGTTAGGGTTCTGAACTTTCACCGCCTTTCACTGGAGAGGGTGCGGGTTCAATCCCTGGTCAGGAAACTAAGATCCTGAAAGTCAAGTGGTGTGGCAAAAAAAAAAAAAAAAAAAAGCTTTGCTGAATTTTAGAGCATAAGCCACCGGTCTCCTTGCATGATGCTGCAATAAATCTTTCTCTGCTCCAAACTCCGATGTTTCAGTTTGTTTGGACTCACTGTTCATCGGGCACACGTACTTGCACTAACGTACGTATCTGCTCAAGACATTTGCCCCTCGAACCTATTTCTGTTTCAATACTCATGTTAGAGAACCAGAGCCTCCCTCCCCAATTCCTAGTGTGGGCACTTTAGCTTGTTCTGCGTGCCCCTGGGGCCCTTCTCCAGGATCCGCAGGCTTTGACCCCTGAGATAGATTGTTGGTCCCTCAGGAAATGTATATATCAATTGTACTTAAGAATTGCTCAACACACTGGAGCAATGCTATCAGTTATTTTTCTTCTTCCTTTTATTGATAATTTTAAATGTTTGCTATCGTTTTTTCAAAAAATAGAAAATATAGAAAGAAGAAAAATGTAGCCCATAATCCCACCCATAATACCACAACTATCAATAACATTTTGATACATTTTTTTCTAGAATCTAGACATAATTTTCTTTCTTTCTTTTAAAAAATATTTGTGGGGCTTCCCTGGTGGCTCAGTGGTTGAGAGTCTGCCTGCCGATGCAGGGGACACGGGTTCATGCCCCGGTCCAGGAAGATCCCACATGCCATGGAGCAGCTAGGCCCGTGAGCCATGGCTGCTGAGCCTGCGCGGCCGGAGCCTGTGCTCTGCAATGGGAGAGGCCACAACAGTGAGAGGCCCGCGTACCGCAAAAAAATAAAATAAATAAAATAAATTTAAAAAATAAAAGATATTTGTAATCGTACACTATATACACTTTAGTACCCTATTTTCTCCTCTTGGAAGTATATTGCAATGTTTTTTCTGCTTTATTTCACGATTTTTAGGATTGGCATAGAGTTGTCAGGAGGATGTACTGTAACAGGGAAGAGCAAAATCTGACTCCATGTTGGATCTGTTTCTTTGACTTTAACCTTTGCTTTTCATTGCTTTTGTTACTATAATCATACATAATGGTCTGCCTCAGGGAACCCTGCCCCTCTGCCTGAATGTTAAACTAATGGGCCTTTGTTCAGCTCACAGGGAGACAATCTGACCCTGCCCACCTATGAATGGCTGTAGAAAGGAAGAAATTCTCACATACCCTCCCCAATGCTGGCCAAGCCAGGCAAAACTAACGGCCCTTTTACTTTACTTCCTCACCTCCTCCCCATCTCTGTTCTATAAAAGAAGTTGGCATCCAGAGCCCGGTAAGATGGTATGGGGAAACTAGTCTGCCATCTTCTCAGTCTTCCAGCTTTCCAAATAAAGTCGCTATTCCTTGCCTCAACATCTCATCTCCCGATTTATTGGTCTGTTGTGTGGCGAGCAGAGTGAGCTTGGACTTGGTAACAGTACTATAAATCAAGAAAAGAAAGATCAGGATATAATCTTCGTCTTCAAGTAAATAAAAAAATCTAACATGTAGCACACTGGCTTTCAAATCCTGATTCCACCATACACAGTCTGGGTGAGCTGGGACAGGATGTTTAATTTTTCCATGTCTCAGTTTCTTTATCCATAAATGGAGAGGGTATCACCTTTTCCTCATAGCAATGCAGAAGGATTATAGTTGCTGATACACCTAAGTGTTGAGTCCAATGCCTGGCACATGGTCAGCACTCAGAAAACACTACTGCTATTAATTATTACCAATAAAAGAGAGAATGCTTGAGGACACTTAGTAAAGCACTATACAAATATCAGGGATGATTACTATTTTTTTTAAATGTTAGTAAGAGCTCTTTTTTTAATATAAATTTATTTATTTTTGGCTGTATTGTGTCTTCGTTGCTGCACATGGGCTTTCTCTGGGGCTACTCAGAGAAAGCAGGGGCTACTCTTCATTGTGGTGCACAGGCTTCTCATTGCAGTGGCTTCTCTTGTTGTGGAGCACAGGCTCTAGGCACGTGGGTTTCAGTAGTTGTGGCATGCTGGCTCAGTAGTTGTGGCTTATGGGCTCTAGAGCACAAGCTCAGGAGTTGTTGTGCACAGGCTTATTTGGTCCACGGCATGTGGGATCCTCCTGGACCAGGGCTTGAACCTGTGTCCCCTGCATTGGCAAGTGGATTCTTAACCCCTGTGCCACCAGGGAAGCCCCAGGGATGATTAATATTAAGAAGGCATCTGATTTCTGAAAATAAAACAACTCATAAGCAGTTCAAATACATCTAAAATGTACACTCAGAGATTCATAGTTAAAAACAACAAATCTGTGTCTAATTGTTTGGTTACTTGACCACAATCTGGAATTTTCAGCTTCCTTTGCTTGATCATCAGCATTAAGATGGCCCTTGGGACAGTTCAGTACAATGAAAATTAATGATATAG